GCATCTTTTTCAATTTCCAACTTGCGAGAGATTTATTGAGAATTTCCATTGGGGTGAAAAAATGATGAAAATGTTGGGATTTCAGCTTAAAAATGGGCAGATGTCAGTTTCAGATGCCAGATGCATTTCCAGCCCTGGGGAGCGCTTCGACGGGGTGGAAGTGGCCGAACGTACAGGCAGTAGTTGGCTGCTGATGCTCCTGAGTGTAGTCAATCTGTGGGATTGTTAAGTCAGATAATACGCTGTTATCCTTATTTGTGTCATGAGTCAGAATCCAAGGCTGTCGGTATGTTAAGGCTGCTTTTTGTGGGTTCTGTTTGTTTTTCTTAAAAACCTGTCGGATAGCAAGGTCCTATTTTACTTGTTAATACTGAACCTAAACAAACAGAAGTGCTCCAACATATTGGTTAAAACTGAGGCCGGAGTCTGCAGCAGAAAAATGCATTCATAATGAGTCATTAGTAATCAGCATTTTCCATCAGTTCGCTTGTGTTGCTCAAACACAAAGACGTGAGAATAAAAGTTCTCCCTCAGGGCCTGAGTGGTATTTTGGTGCAAGCAGTGAGTATCATCTTTATTTTTTCTTTTTTAAAAAATAGAACTTCCACACATACATGTTTGTTTTTATGGAAAATGAATCAATAGAAAAGAAAGTGCAGCCTGTGAATGAATGTGTTTAGCACAGCCATGGAAACAGAGAGTTAAAGAAAACATGCCTGCAAGGCAGAGAATAAATACAAAAAAAGTTTTAGCTCAGATAAGAATAGAAAGAGAGGTGGCTGAAGTTTGTTTCCTTCTTTTGGTTTTTGTTTAGAACGCTCGGTTTAGAATTCAATTTGTGCAGGTGTTGTTTTAACTTTTTATTTCATGGTTTTTTCTAAAGCGCTGTAAAGGTCACTTGCAATTTTTTGATTAAATCCACCTCCATGCTGCCATGTACCCCCATGATGCACCTCTTTCCCTCCTGTCCTCACTTGACCAGCACATAACTCCACACCTGCACAGCCCCGTTGTTCTGCTTAGTCCGGTAGATATTCATCTCAGCACAGTCGGATTACTCCACGGCCAGACGAAGCCTCCGCGCCATCAGATAAAACAAGAAGGTGTTCGTTATAGTCGTGCTCATCTCGCCTCCCTTTGGCTGCGCTCGGCTCTGAGGGTTTATATCAGCAGGAGGGAAACGGCTTTTAGCTTTTAACAAAGATCCAAGTTTTAAAGATGCAAAAAGAGACAAAAAAAAAAACCTCCTAATTTCTGCTCTCTTGACGTCTGCAGCCAGAATTTCTTTCACACAGAAGAGTAATTAATTCAGTTTGATTTGTGCACGTTTCTCAGATGAGACATCCTAATTATAATCTTTCTTTTTATGAATGTTTCATACGTGTAATTATCCTCTGGTAATTGCTCCTGTCTTTTCTTTTGTGTGACTTTCAGCACAGCTCCCACGAGGCTTTTAGTGCTTTTGAAAGGTTCACAGGTTTTTGCAGACGTTCTGTACAGATCCTGAAGTTTTCTAAATAAACGGATGACGTGATTAATCGGCGGCTCTTTGTCCTCAGTTTAACACGTCACAACCTGACGGAGAAGAATTATGAAGGAGATTTATAGTGAAGAAACATGCTGGTCTGTAAATTATTGGGTTCATTTTGTTCGATGGGCTTCTATCTTGGATGTGGACGACTGACTGAGCAAACAAAGTCTTTAAATGTCACCGAAAAGTCTTGATAAATCCTACAAATGTTCCTACATTTAATGTTCAACTTGATGTTAAAAGCCTGTTTTACAAAATGTGTTGGAATGTACTTAGTCTGTGCTCTTTGGCTTTATAGAAAATAGAAAATAGGGCTGCACAGAAAACCGACCACAATTTTGAAACGATTGACATTTGAAATGCTCCTAGAAAGGAGAACATGTAGATAAATATGTTCAGTGTTAACTCTGATACATCTGACATTAGAACACTTTATTTCACTCTGTTTAAACTATATTTTGGTCACCTGTTTGAGTTTCTGAGCTGCACCGTGGAGTGCAGTGAGTGAGTGGAGACTAGTGGCTTCTCTGTGCATGGCTACCTGACTAGCATCTAGGCTGCTGCTGCTAGCTAGTAAAAACAAAGCTAATCAAAGGAAAACAAAAAGTACCGCAGTAGTAGCAGCATTGTGTTGACAAATTTCACCGAGGTTATCATTCTGCCCTTGATTGTGAAGCTCTAATTGAAAATAAAGTTGTCATCATGCCGATTTCAATAATGAACGGTATACCGTCTCTGAATCCAAAAACAAAGTAGTAAAAAGGAAAAAAGGCCACTTTTAGGGCAATTGTACAGCAGTAGTAGCATTGTGTTAACAAGTTTGAATGAGCTGCAGTACCTGAATGGAGACTAGAGGCTTCTCTGTGCATAGCCACTTAGCTAGCATCTACTATAGCCTGTATATGAGGCGTTTAGGGACTATCATTAAATTGTAGTATTTCAGTGAGGAAGTTTTGAGCAACTGAGGCCATTTATGTTTACATTTTGCCTCTTCTCGATGCTCTGAACTCAAGTTGAGACTAGTTTAAGTTTTATTTTGATGCAAGGAAAAGACATTTTTTGTGGCATGGTATGACTAAGCTGCAATAACTGAGTGGAGACTAGAGGCCCCTCCGTGCACAGCTGCTCAGTTAGCATGTGCTATAGCCTGTATGTGAGGCGTTTAGAGAACATTGGTAAATTGTAGTGTTTCAATTAGGACATATTTTTACATTCTGCCTCTTTGAGATACTTTGAACTCAGGTAAAGATTATTTTAAGCATCATTTTGAGTAACTGAGTGGAGATCAGAGGCCTCTATGTGCACAACTACCTAGTTAGCATCTACTGTAGCCTCTATCTGAGGCATTTAAGGAACACTTGTAAATTGTAGTGTTTCAGTGAGGACATTTATTTTACATTTTTGCCTCTTTGAGATGCTCTGAACTCAAGTAAAGATTATTTAAAGCCTAATTTTGAGTAACTGAGTGGAGACTAGAGGCTTCTTTGTGAACAGCCAACCAGCTAGCATCAATAGTAGCCTATATGTGAGGCATTTAGGGGACATGTGTATATTGTAGTGTTTCAATGAGGACATTTAGTTTACATTTTGCCTCTTTGAGATGCTCTGAGCTTCATTTTAAGTAACTGAGTGGAGACTAGAGGCTTCTAAGTGAAAACCACCCAGCTAGCATCTACTATAGCCTGTATGTGAGGCATTTAGGGGACATTCGTATATTGTAGTGTTTCAATGAGGACATCTAGTTTACATTTTTCCCTCTTTAAGAAGCTCTGCACTCAAGTGAAGATTATTTTAAGCCTCATTTTAAGTAACTGAGTGGAGACTAGAGGCCTCTCTGTGCACAGCCGACCAGCTAGCATCTACTATAGCCTGTATGTGAGGCTACGGTCGATGCAACCAGAAAATCGTAAAACTGAACATTTTAAGTCTCATTTGGATGCGGACAAGTTTTCTTAAGGTGGAAGTTTTGCATTGTGTCAACTTCAGTTGCATCCTGAGTTTGTGTGTGCTAATCTAAGCCTTCCTTCTTGTGTCTCCCCCCACAGAGTGCAGTCCAGACTGCCAGCGCTGCACCGCCGACCTCCAGACCGGCGTCGGCAGCGTCTGTCTGTGGTGCAGAGCTCCGAGGACGTGGCTGCTGGGCGACCACTGCGTCTCCGACTGTCCTCCGGGCCGCTACGCTTGGCACGGAGCCTGCATCAGTAAGCACGTCTACGCCTTCACTCAGCTCGTACGGAGGTCAGAGGGCGCGGCTGAATGTAAAACCTGCGAGAAAACCCCTCGTCAAAACCCTGCATGTTTTATTCATCGGCCTTTTTAGAATTAGCTTCATCTCCTGACCCGGTAGGAGTTTGTTTTTCGATCCTCTCCGCCGACCTCGAGAAGCTGCTCAGAGTGAATATTAAACAAAACGTTCAGCTTCAAAAACACATAGTCTCACGAGTTACATCTATTTCTTTTCTTTTTGGATTCAACCTTGCAGAAGCTGGTTTTTGATTTGACGTGCATTAAAATCCTCCAGATTTCCTCTGAGCTCCACGTTTGTGTTGGAAACCGTACAGAGACTCAAGAGATCAGAGGAGTCGCAGCAGAAAAGTCGTGTTGATGGAACGTGATATAGGATGTAGTGAGATGGATGTTGAGTTTTTGAGGTTTTTTTGGTTGGTTTTAGGGTTATTTTAGACATAAAATATCAATGTAGTTGCACTCGTTAGCTCGCAGCATCAACATCAGGCTAAATATCAAAATCCCCACCATTATTATTTTTTTAAAGTTGTTTTTTTGGGCCTTTGTTCGGTAGTACAGTAAGAGAGAGAAAGGAAAGTAGGGGAGAAGATTGGGGGGAGGACGTGTGGTAAAGGGTCATGAGCGAGATTCGAACTCATGACCTCCACATTGGGACTGTAGCCCTGCACATGGGATGCCAGCTCAACCAGGTGAGCTAGGGTTAGGGTTAGGGGTTAGCGCCCCTCACTATTATTTTTGTTATTAGGGTAACTGCGAGGAACCTTTCGAAACCCTTCTGATTCAATTTTCCAAGTGAAACAAGAGCATTTTTAAGGGCCTGAATATGCTCAAAAACTCAACCAAACTGGCAAAAGGTTTGACATTTTAGGGAACTTGGGCATGTGAGAGGCAAAATGGCTCCATAGTGACCCCTTGGAAATTTCAACGGTGTAGCACTGAAAGTGCGTTTCACCAAGACTTATGTAATTTGGTATGTATCATGTCAGGACGCAAAAAACACCCCCAGGAAACCCATACCCTAAACCCAACAGGAAGTCTGCCATTTTGAATAAGCGGCGAGATTTTGGGTGATTTTTGCTCATTTTTGGCCATTTTCAAGCTCTATCTCCTCCGAGGGGGAAAGTCTGACAGACCCCAAATTTGGCCAGAAATGACAGCAGGACTTATTGATTAAAAGATATCAAAACACTTTGCAAAATCTGAGGGCGTGGAAATGGCCCCCTATGGAATTTTGACGATTCGCCCGACAACAGGAAGTGCCGTCGAAAAGCATTTCAATGGGTTACCCTGGGAACTACGTTTGGCCTCCACCTACGAATTTGGTAGGAACCTGTAGCACATCAGGACGCACAAAAAAGTCTTTGGCGCCACCATTTTGAGGAATGTTATGAGATTTTATGCAATTTTTTTGTCTCATTTTCTGCTTTCTTCAAAATCTACCTCCTCCTGGCATCATTTTTGTTGTTGTTTAGTTTTTTTATGTCGGGCTTTTCACATTTTGAGTCTTGATTGTGTCGTTTTCTCTTGTTTTTTGTTTCTGTCACTGTTTTTTTCTAGTTTGTGTCTCGCTTGTGTCACTTTTTGTTCTTTTGCATCTTTTTATGTCTTATTTTTTTAGGTTTCGCGTCTCACTTGTGTCCTTTGTGTCATTTTATGTCTCATTTGTGTCATTTTGTCTCCTTTGTTTTCATATTGTGTCTCGTTTGTGTCATTTTGAGTCTAGTTTTTATTCTTTTGTGTCTTTTTTTTCATCATCTTTGGTCCTGCTTGTGTCGTTTTGTCTCACCTTTGTTTTGTGTTGCATTACGTCGGTTTGAGTCTCTCTTACGTCTCGTTTTTATCCTTTCTGCAGCACTTTATTAATTTTTAGCATTGCTCCGTTTCATCTCGTCCTCGCTAATGAATCCTATTTGTGTGTTTTCCCAGAATGCCATGCGTCCTGCGAGTCCTGCAGTGGGGCGGGGCCTCTCTCCTGCACTTCCTGTCTGTCCGGCAGCGTTCTGCTGCCCTCCGGCCTCTGCGCTCCGAAGTGCCCCCTCGGTTACTATGACAACGGCCAGCGGGTTTGCCAGGGTGAGTGTGACGCCGACGTTCAACAAATAGGCAGCAGATAGTAACATAGAGTTTACATTCATTTTTATAAAGTCACTGCTGTGCTAGCCTTCCTGTTATTTTGGTTGTTGTAGTTACTAGTAGTTAGTAGTAGTTTATCACTAGTTACCAGGAGTCACTGGAGGTTGTGTTCAGACCAAAACCAAGTATTTTAGATCCAATCTGAGAGCAGAAATCTACTCAGAGTGTTTGTGTTTCCCAGATTCAACATCTGAACCTCAAACGGTCCCATAAATGATAAACAAAAATTCTACAAACAACAACAACAAAAGTGCTCATTACACTCGTTTGTGCCATTGAATGTCTCGTTTTTATCCTTTTGTCTCTTTTTGTCAGATTGTGTCTTGTTTGTTTGATTTGTGTCTCATTTTTATCCTTTTGTTTCATGTTTTTGTGGTTTTGTGTCTCATTTGTGTTTCGTTTCTGTCATTTTGTGTCTATTGTTTGTCAGTTTGTCTCAATTGTGCTGGTTCACATCTTCCTTTTATCCTCTCATGTCTTGTTTTTGGTTGTTTTGTCTTGCTTTTATCATTTTGTGTCTCATTTGTGCTGTTTCTTCTCTGTCCTCTTGTGTCTCGTTGTTGTTTTGTCTCGTTTTTGTTGTTTTGTGTCTCATTTTTTGTCGTTCTGTGTCTTGTTGGTGATGTTTCTCATCTTCCTTTAGTCCTCTTGTGTCTCATTTTTGTTGTTTTGTCTCATTTTCGTCTCGTTTTTGTTGTTTTGTGTCGTGTTTGTGATGTTTCTTCGCTTCCTTTCATCCTCTTGTGTCTTGTTTTTGTCGTTTTGTGTCTCATTTGTGCTGTTTCACATCTTCCTTTCATCCTCTCGTGTCTCGTTTTTGTTGTTTTGTCTAATTTTTGTCTCGTTTTTTGTTGTTTCGTGTCGTGTTTGTGATGTTTCTTCGCTTCCTTTCATCCTCTTGTGTCTTGTTTTTGTCGTTTTGTGTCTCATTTGTGCTGTTTCACATCTTCTTGTCGTCCTCTCGTGTCTCGTTTTGCATCGTGTCATGTCTGGTTGTGATAAAACCCGACATCCGGCCGGTGTTTCTGATTCCCGGGGTTGTGTTTCCGCCCTCTGACCTGTTCTGTGTTTTCCCGGCAGCGTGCGACAGCCAGTGTCTGACCTGCGACATGGCCGGCGTCTGCTCGTCGTGCCGCGACCCGACCAAGGTGCTGCTGTTCGGGGAGTGCCAGTACGACAGCTGCGCCCACCAGTACTACCTCAACACCACCACGCGCACCTGCAGAGGTGAGACCCGGCGACACACACACACACACACACACACACACACACACACACACAGGCCGATAAGAGGACGTCCGTGAAGCGTCTCCTTCCACACGACGGCGGCTTTATGAGCTCATCAGTCATAAAGGTGATTGATGGATGAACCTCAGAGTGAACGACTTCCTTTATCAGGCGGCACACAAAACCTCATTCAGCCGCTTAATTAGACACTAATCAGCCCAGGCGCATCCCGCTGGTGTCGCTTTTAACCTTTTGTGTCTCGTTCTTGTCATGTTGTGTCTTGTTTGCGTCATTTTGTTAATTTTTTTTGTCCTTTTGTCTCTCGTTTGTCATCTTGTGTCTTATTTTTTGTCATATTGCGATTTGTTGGTTTGTCGTTTTATGTCTCATTTTTGTCCTTTTGTGTCTTGGTTGTGTCGTTTTGTTGTTTTTTGGTCCGTTTGTGTGTCATCTGTGTTGTTTTATTTCACATTTTTTTATCCCTTTGTGACTCTTTTTTGTCCTTTTGTCTCTCGTTTGTCATTTTATGTAAAAATTTTTGTCCAGGTGTGTTTTGTTTGTGTCGTTCTATGTGTCATTTTTACCCATTTGTTGCTTGTTTGTCTTGTTTTTTGTCTCTNTTGTGTGTTTTCCCAGAATGCCATGCGTCCTGCGAGTCCTGCAGTGGGGCGGGGCCTCTCTCCTGCACTTCCTGTCTGTCCGGCAGCGTTCTGCTGCCCTCCGGCCTCTGCGCTCCGAAGTGCCCCCTCGGTTACTATGACAACGGCCAGCGGGTTTGCCAGGGTGAGTGTGACGCCGACGTTCAACAAATAGGCAGCAGATAGTAACATAGAGTTTACATTCATTTTTATAAAGTCACTGCTGTGCTAGCCTTCCTGTTATTTTGGTTGTTGTAGTTACTAGTAGTTAGTAGTAGTTTATCACTAGTTACCAGGAGTCACTGGAGGTTGTGTTCAGACCAAAACCAAGTATTTTAGATCCAATCTGAGAGCAAAAATCTACTCAGTGTTCGTGTTTCCCAGATTCAACATCTGAACTGCAAACGGTCCCATAAATGATGAACAAAATGATAAAAACAACAACAAAAGTGCTAATTACACTCGTTTCTGCCATTTAATGTCTCGTTTTTATCCTTTTGTGTCTCTTTTTGTCAGATTGTGTCTTGTTTGTTTGATTTGTGTCTCATTTTCATTCTTTTGTTTCATGTTTTTGTGGTTTTGTGTCTCATTTGTTTCGTTTCTGTCATTTTGTGTCTATTGTTTGTCAGTTTGTGTTGTTTTGTGCCTCCTTTTTATCCTCTTCTGTCTGTTTTTTGTCATGTTGTCTTGTCTGTGTCACATTTTGTCAGTTTGTTTTGTTTGTGTTATTTTACGTCTCATTTTTATCCTCTTGTGTCTCATTTTGCATCTTGTTGTGTTTTGTTTTTGTCATTTTGTCCTTTTTGTCAGTTTGTGCCTTGTTTGTGTCCTTTAGTCCTCTCGTTGTTGTTGTTGTTTTGTGTCTCGTTTTTGTTGTTTTCTGTCTTGTTTGTGCTGTTTCTTGTCTTCCCTTCATCTTTCTCGTGTTTCGTTTTTGTCGTTTTGTCTCATTTGTGCTGTTTCACGTATTTCTTTTATCCTCTCATGTCTTGTTTTTGTTGTTTTGTCTTGCTTTTATCATTTTGTGTCTCATTTGTGCTGTTTCTTCTCTGTCCTCTTGTGTCTCGTTTTTGTTTTGTCTCGTTTTTGTTGTTTTGTGTCTCATTTTTTGTTGTTCTGTGTCTTGTTGGTGATGTTTCTCATCTTCCTTTAGTCCTCTTGTGTCTCATTTTTGTTGTTTTGTCTCATTTTCGTCTCGTTTTTGTTGTTTTGTGTCGTGTTTGTGATGTTTCTTCGCTTCCTTTCATCCTCTTGTGTCTTGTTTTTGTCGTTCTGTGTCTTGTTGGTGATGTTTCTCATCTTCCTTTAGTCCTCTCGTGTCTCATTTTTGTCGTTTTGTGTCTCATTTGTGCTGTTTCACATCTTCCTTTCATCCTCTCGTGTCTCGTTTTTGTTGTTTTGTCTAATTTTTGTCTCGTTTTTTGTTGTTTCGTGTCGTGTTTGTGATGTTTCTTCGCTTCCTTTCATCCTCTTGTGTCTTGTTTTTGTCGTTTTGTGTCTCATTTGTGCTGTTTCACGTCTTCTTGTCGTCCTCTTGTGTCTCGTTTTGCATCGTGTCATGTCTGGTTGTGATAAAACCCGACACCCGGCCGGTGTTTCTGATTCCCGGTGTTGTGTTTCCGCCCTCTGACCTGTTCTGTGTTTTCCCGGCAGCGTGCGACAGCCAGTGTCTGACCTGCGACATGGCCGGCGTCTGCTCGTCGTGCCGCGACCCGACCAAGGTGCTGCTGTTCGGGGAGTGCCAGTACGACAGCTGCGCCCACCAGTACTACCTCAACACCACCACGCGCACCTGCAGAGGTGAGACCCGGCGACACACACACACACACACACACACACACACACACACACACAGGCCGATAAGAGGACGTCCGTGAAGCGTCTCCTTCCACACGACGGCGGCTTTATGAGCTCATCAGTCATAAAGGTGATTGATGGATGAACCTCAGAGTGAACGACTTCCTTTATCAGGCGGCACACAAAACCTCATTCAGCCGCTTAATTAGACACTAATCAGCCCAGGCGCATCCCGCTGGTGTCGCTTTTAACCTTTTGTGTCTCGTTCTTGTCATGTTGTGTCTTGTTTGCGTCATTTTGTTAATTTTTTTTGTCCTTTTGT